GAAAATTTTGGAGGGATGGCCTGCTACCTGCGACAGCCAAGAATCTGGAAACGACGAAAATATAATCGAGCGGGAAATTGGACACATTATCATCATGAACGCCATGAACGTCAACATCAACTCTTCGTGCGGCCCTTATACCACTATCAACGGCACAGCGATTATTAGCTACAAAAACTACACCGTAGAGATAAATAATATCACCTATGAAGATTCCGAAGTTAATATCCTTGAGGATGTGAAGATCTCCTTACCCAACCCAAGCCTAGTACTGGTTAAGAATAACACAAGAAAACTTAATCTACGTCACTTGGAGCTGCAAAATCTGAACAACACTCAAGGAGTCAAGGAGGCAACAACAAGTCATCTAATCTTTCTGTACACATGGCTAGGAATAGCTAGTGTACTGCTAATCATCATATGTCTACTAAAGAGAAGAACCATAATTTTATATCCAGGCGAGACACAACAACACGTCGTTCCGACCGTTCCTTCGTTCTGGCCGTCACTATATTCCAGGGGGGGGGAGTTTCCACCACTTCTTCTTCCCCTACCTCTGTCTCGCCTCCGCCCAACAAACAAATTGTTGCAAAATTGTTGACATACGCTGGATATGCTGATCTAGTCTGGATCTGGTCTATTTTGCCGACTAAGCGAAATAGCCAAACGGCAGCGATCAAGCCAGCTGCCTTTCGAAATCTGCGGACGATGCAGATTTCGATTCCATTATTCCATATTTCATGTACCATATAACCTAAGCATTTTTATAATAAAGAATTAATTTCAACAAGCAATTCAAACGAGAAGGTTATCATATCTTGGGACTCAATCTCATAATTTTATTATAACTTGGACCCAAGGCTAATAACTCGGGTGCGCCTTGGTGACAACAGCCGGTCACTCTGCCGGGCCAGACAAGCGGGCACACCGCACAAAGGGATTTCCGGGAACGGTCACATTAACTCCAGCCACGGGGTATATAAGGAGGATCGGTTTCTTCGAAAAAGTCACTCTTTCGGTCGATCTCGATCAGGTAAGATCAGCCCTCTTTCGCAATTGGGCACCCTCACCAGAAATAGTCAATTTGGTCGGATTTAGCATAACGCTGAATCTAATACATCCTACTCCTACTGCCATCGGCCGTTCGCCGATGCTCGCAGATCCACTGGATCCCTGCAGGCACTCTCGCAACAGAACCACAAGGGCTTTGCCATCTCTCTCGCGGCGGACCCAACGGGCCACGCGTTCTCTCTCGCAACAGACCCACAGGGGCTTAGCCATCTCTCTCGCGGCGGACACAACGGGCCCCGCGTTCTCTCTCGCAGCAGACCCACAGGGGCTTTTCCATCTCTCTCGCGGCGGAACCAACGGGCCACGCATTCTCTCTCGCATCAAATCCACAGGGGCTTTGCCATCTCTCTCGTGGCGGACCCAACGGGCCACGCGTTTGTTCTCGCAACAGGAGCTTCGCGTTGGCTCTCGCAACAGACCCACAGGGGCTTTGCAATCCCTCACGCGTCGGACTCTACGGGCCTCGCGTGCTCTCTCATACCAGAGAACCAGGGTCCGCTTCTCTCTACACATTCGCACTCGCTCGCGTGTCCATCGATCCTATTCTCCTTTTCCCTTTCTTAGCTAGCGGATCACGGAGACGACCGCCCCCCCCCTTTTCAACAAGCAAGGTTAGGTTAGGTTTTGGGAAAATTGGGTATTTTTCGTTTGTTTGTTGGGTAAGTAGGTTATACTTTTCCGAGTTGAATTTTTGTGTATTAGTTGATGGAAATGGGGTCGTAATAATAGGAAAGTGGTTGCTACCATGAAGTTCGTTCAGTATTTCTCACTTAGAATGGGGGGCCAAAATTGGAGAGCAGACTGTGAGGTCGATGTGCGTGGCCTCTTTTAGTTTAAAGAAGGGTCTGTTGAATTTTTGTGTATTAGTTGATGAAAATAGGGTCGTGATAATAGGAAATTGGTTGCTACCATGAATTTCGTTCAGTATTTCTCACTTAGCGTGGGGGCCCAAAATTGTAGAGCAGAGTGTGAGGTCGATGTGTGGGTAAGTATTGTGAGTTGAAAAATGTGTGGGAGATTTGCATTGTCAATAAATCTTTGAGTTATTTTTCCTGGAGTGTTTGTTGTTGGTGATCCCCAGGAAGGATGCCATCCATTGGAGTGTTTGTTGTTGGTGATCCCCAGGAAGGATGCCATCCATTGGAGTGTTTGTTGTTGGTGATCCCCAGGAAGGATGCCATCCATTGAAATCTCCCATTATTAGTGAGGTTGCTTGTTGTGTGTTAAATGTGTTTTGAAGTGTCTGGTTAGTAATGTCTTTGGTGGGGGATATGTATATTGAAAATATGATTCATTTTAGTTTAGATTCTAAATTTATGACTATTGCTTCTAGGTCGTAGTGTATTGAATTGACTTATGAACTAAAAGTCTCTATCTATCTATTGGTTGCTATGTTTGTTAATAGTTTGTAGTTTATTGGGGTTGGTATATTATTAGTGTATTGTATGTGGGTTTCTTGGAGGGAAATTATATGTGGTGAATATTTTTTGATGAGAATAAGGAGTTGGCTATAGTTATTTACATATCCTTTTAGGTTCCATTGAATTACAGTTAAGGACATTTTAGTGAAAATTAAAGCTTGTAACTTAACTTCATTGGTAGTTTTAACGGTTAAGTTTAAGTCTTACTTAGGGTTTGAGGTTCTATATGGATTCGCTTTGGCCTTTGTCTTAGATGCTTTAAAATTCGTTGTTAGGTTATTATTAGATTATCTTTAAGAAGATTTTTATTTGTAGGTCTTCTGTGAGTTGTAACGAGTATGGTGTGGCTGATTTCTGATTGTGTGATGCAGTAGTATCCATGTCTTCTAGTTTGTCGTAATCGTGGTGGTGATGGTGTTGAAGAGTTTGGCTTAATGGTAGAGTTGTTTTGGCTTATCCGGTGGTTGTTGCCTTCAATGGGGTGACATTTGATCCTGATGTGAGTGTGGTGTGCGAATTTTTATGTTGTGGTTGTGTTTGTGTGTGTACTTATATTAGAATTTGGTGATTGTGGGATTGTTGTCATCTGAGTTGTTGTATTTGTAAGTGTTTTAGCATAGGTGATCCTCAATTGAAATCCGTGTCTTTCGAAATAAATACGTGGGGCATTTTTGTGGTCAACTTCCTGTGTGGTTTTAATAGCTGTTAATTCGTGGTTTTTTATTGAAGTGGGGCATTTACGGTCGATTGGGCTGTGCTGATGGTCAAGTTCTGGGTTGTTTTGGCAGTTTAAGCAATTTTTTTCTTACATGTTTCTCCGTCGCTTGTGTGTTTTATTTCGGAGCAATTAGTTTAATTTTCGGAGCTTTTGCATATTGGTGCTGGGTGACCATAGCGTAGGCATTTTCTGCATTATGATCAAGCCTGTTTCAATTAAAGTGGTGTTGTTGTTGACAGAGTTAGTGTTGTTTTGTCGTTTCATTATTTTTTTCACTTCGGCTCACTTTTGTGGTTTTAGATCTTGTAGAATTGTGCCTTCGTCAATATATCTAAGGTCGTTACAATAAATAACTCCCTTAGAGAAGTTCAATGTTCAATGTTGTGTTCACTTGTTGAAACTTTGATTTTTGCGATTATTGTAAGTTTAAGAAGTTTTCTGGCATGCAATTCGTTTTTGGTTTTTATTAATAATGTACTGTCTTTTTTTTTTTGGCACAGGCAAAGTCATCGGATTTTTTAATTATGAATGGTGATATTTTTTCAAGCAAGTCGTTTTCCTTTCTTTAAATTATGATAAATTTTTGGACGCCTAATTGGGAATGATACGATTTTGACGAAATTTTAAAAATGCCTGGTGGGTCCGTCATGATAGCTAGTGAAGGGCTTGAGCCCGTATTAAAGGTTTTCATGGTGTTGAAATTTGTTTGTGCAAGATTTTGCTGATAACGTTTTTGGTTTGCGCGAAGCTTTACACTGTTTTGGCACGACTTATCTCTCCGGAGGTTGAAGTTGTACTCAATCACAATTATTTAAAAAAGGGCAACGATCAAGTTATTATCAATAATAACTTTTCGGTTTGACGATTTATTAAAAACTAAACGAAATATGCTGCGTGCAGGCAGAACAAAAGCTTCAAGAAAAGCACGAACAAGAAGAAACGCTATGGTCCAGTGCCACGACTATAAGATACCCGTTACTGTTTTACACAATTTTAAAATATTCATTTTGCTAGTAGAAATTGACAAAGCGCCATAATTTGTCAGAGAAAGTACGTTGAGTAACTGATAGTGACGTCACTGCCCTTGTGAGGCGTTATTATTTCATAATATAATATTCTTCATAAATAGCGAAATAATGTTCCGATTTGTTTATATGTTGTGCAAGGTCAAACCAAGACATACACAACAATATTATGGACGTCACAGTTTTTCGCGGCTTGTGGGCGTTTAAGTGGGCGTGGCCGGATGAAAACTTGTGGCAAATTGCAGAGGTATATTTTAAAAACCTATTCTTAAGCACAACTTTTTAGCTCTTATAGTTCCCGATGTTTTTTTAATTTTTTGTTTTTCGGGTTTTGTGGGCGTTAGAGTGGGCGTGGCTAGATGGGACATAAGGGGCATTATAAGTACTAATAAAATGCGGCTTCTGGGCAAGATTTATGGGCAATTAAATGTGATATTAATGGTTTTTATCAATTAACTGTGACTGTCGCCTTGTGAAGTGCGGAGTTGCCTTAAACGGCTCCCCCCACGCGTAGGTCCAAAGAAAGGTGAACTGTAAAGGCCTATGGATATGGCGTACGGAACGTTTTATTCTGTAAATTCATTAAATTAGTTTACAATTCAAATATAGCTCTTCTTCTTCCCGCAGTGTGCCCTCCTACTATTCACAAGACAGTGAAAAGGCATTTTTCGGCGCCATTCACATAACCGCGATTAATAAGCCCGTACTACACAGGGCCAAAAATCGGATAACTTAGAAAATACTAAATTTCCTATTAATACTGACTTAACTATCGATAACAATGTTTTGACCGTCGACATCTCCGACCCCGTGAAGACCCGCTTCACTCAAATCTAAAACTGCAAGTTTAGAGACGGGCCGCGACATTGTCCAAGATAGTCCATTATCATTTACGCGCACAGTGGCGAGTCTGACGACTCCATCAGCTCCGCTGTATACCTCCTCCGCGATGCCCTTGCGCCACTCTCGTCTGGGGAAGGCTGGATCGCAGACGAAGACCATATCGCCCTGGCGGATGGGCTCCGTTCTCAGGCACCACTCCAGGACCCACCTACTCCAGGAGCGGTCCCGCAGCATGCGGGCAATCCTCCACTGCTTTCGCGTAGAACCCTCCTTGGGCCGCTCCACATCCCATCCGGGCGTATACGGCAGGTTAGCTGCTCCCTTGAGCAGGTCGTTTGGCGTCAACGGCGCCTCTTGGTCCGCATTCAGTGGCAAGTGGGTGAGCGGACGCGAATTGACTATGTTTTCCGCCTCAATTAGGAGACTCTCCAAAACATGGTCCCTCGGCGCGACTTCCTTCAGGGTATGGCGCAGCACTTGCTTGACGCACTGCACCATCCGCTCCCATACTCCGCCCTCAGACGGGTTGGATGGGAAATTAAAGACCCATTCAATGCTCCTGCTGGATAACTCACTCTGTATCCTTTCCGTCTCGAACACGTCTCCAAATCGCCTGGCCTCCCTGTCAGCTCCTACGAAGTTCTTGCCGTTGTCACTCCGCAGTTTACGTACTGGTCCTCTACGGCAGGCGAAGTTCCTGATCGCTATTATGCAGGAATCCGTTGACAGGTCATGCGCCAGCTCCAGATGAATCGCCCTTGTCGTCAAACATGTGAACAAGGCGACCCAACGCTTCTCTCTGTGACGAGCAACAGTCACCAGCAGTGGCCCAAAATAGTCTAGTCCTGTGTACTTGAATGGCCATCCTTCAGATTCCAAGCGATCCTCTGAAAGGGGTCCCATTATCGGCGGCATCGGCCGCGTCCGTTGTAGCTTGCATTCGTTGCACGACGGGATTACCTCCTTCAGCAATCGTCGCATCCACGTTTTGATGCTTCATCTGGGCGTGGTAGTGTCTTACTACCATCTCCGTAAGACTGTGCCTGTGTGACAGTATCACAGGCCTCCTCGCACTGTACGGCATGGACAGCGCGGCATCGACTCTGCCATAAACCCGCAGAACTCCATATTTGTCCACGTAAGGCGCCAGACTTCGAATCTCGCTCGAGTTGGCGACGTCCTTTCCGCGTTCCGCCGACCTCATCTCGTCGGGAAACGACTCCAATTGGGCCTGCCTGATTAACAGGTTCTCCGCGGCCTCACACTCCGTTGCAGTGAGTCGGTATTCCTCGAGGTCGCTTTTCTGTTTGCGGCACCGTCGCGCAAACCTCAGGACCCAGGCGGTGGTCCTCACCAGGCAACTGAAGCTCGAAAATCTCTGGAACAGGATGACAAATTCAATTGATGCTACCAATGCGAACTCACCGGGCATCTCCTCTTCCTCAGGTGCATCTGGAACATGCTCGGTTCCCTCCTCAGGCGTTGGCCAGCCGCTTGCTGGCTGCCTCAAAAATTCGGGACCGCTTAACCACCGGGATTCCGGGCGAAGGTCCGCCTTGCTCAGCGACCGCGTCGCATCATCCGCTGCGTTGTCAGCTGTAGGTACCCATCTCCACTGGGAAACCTTCGACGACTCCAAAATCTCCGCCACTTGGTTGCCAACAAAGTGCTTATACCGGCGGTGGGTGCTGCCGATCCATTTCAGCACCGTTTTTGAATCCGTCCATAACACCGTCTCGCTGATGTCCACACTGTGTTCTTCCTTGACAGTGTTCATCAATCTGGTTCCAAGGACCGCTGCCTGCAGCTCTAGCCGTGGGATGGACATCGTTCTTATCGGCGCACACTTCGTCTTTGCGCACACGAAGCTAACCAGCACGTTGCCATTCTTGTACGTGACCCTCCAATAGGCCACCGTCGTGAATGCAGATTGACTTGCGTCCACGAAAACGTGTAGCTCGATGGTCCAAACTGCTCCACGCCCAAAATAGTGGCGAGGACATTGGAACTCTCCCACGGCAGCAACAGCTTCGCTGTAATCATCAGGCAGCACAGGAACCCCAATGTGTCGAACGTTGACATCAGCAGGCTCAAAAACTCCCCCTTTGTTGGGACTCGCTCTCCACTTAGGACGATTTTTGGCACTCGATGATACTCCACGTTGAATCTGAAGTCATCGGTTGCTACCTGCCAACGCATTCCAAGTATTTTCTGCTCAGACTCACCCCATCCGACGCTCTTGACTTGTCCAGGTGGTCCCAACTCCGCTTCCACGATGGGTGAGCTGGATGAGAACTGGCATAGCTCGAATCCAGCCTCCGCGTGTATCTCCTTTACTCGGGTAGATACCTCAATAGCTTCGCTCTCCGTATCGAAACTATCCACGTAGTGGATACGTTCATTTGGTATATATCCGGCTCTCGATCGTCGTTGCCATCTCTCCAAAGGAACCGTTGGGAACATCGATCCTCGGGTCGGATCAGCACTTGGTGGAACATCTCCTTGATGTCCCGGCAGACTCCGACTGCTCCTTCTCTGAAGTGGAAGAGCACAGCTGGCAAGGGCTTGTAGTGCCTTGGCCCCTTGTCCAGCGCCGAATTGAGTGAGGATCCTCCAACCTTGGCTGCAGCATCGAACACAAGCCGGACCTTACCGGGCTGCGTCTGGAAACAGCTGACATCTGGTTTCCTCCGTTGTGGCGCCTGAAGCCACCTCGCTGTTCCGGCCTTCTTTGCCCTTCGTCCTCTCCATGCAGCAGACAGTGATGCAATCTGCGGCATCCGTTAATCTGGCACTCGCCATGCACATCGCAGGAGAGCCATGAGGGTGGGGTTTCCCAGATGTTGCTCCGCCTTCGCCGACTGCAAGAAGGCCGTGAGGTTACTCACTCTAGTTGCGAAGGGAACGATCCTCGCCAGGTTCTGCTCCGTAATCTGCGTCACCTCTCGCACGCTGTTCAGCTGGCTGCGTATAAGCTGCTCCGGTCGGCCAAACCTAAAGCGCAACTGCTCCATCACGGCTCTGACGTTCGCGGGGTGAATCAGCAGCGACTTCACTGTCTCGCGTGCTTCATCTTTCAGCGCCTTCATCAGCCTCTGGTTGTTCTCCACGTCCGTGCAGTTGTATGCTTGGGTCGTTTCCACAAATGCACAATTAAAGATGGGCCAATCCTCGGGCTGCCCTCCAAATATAGGCAAGTCCGGGAGCCTCCTTGGCCCATTCGCTCCTTGGGTTCCAATCAGTGTCATCGAGGCGTAGGGTCCCACGAATGGCGATGCAGTTGCCACGTTGTGGATGCTCCCGCCCGGTAGCACGAATCCATGCGCTGTCTGCGCAGCACTTGTAGCACACAGTGGGTTGCTAGTCGTTAGTAACGGTGGTCCACTCCAAGATGGTGCCAGCGTGTAGGTCCCAGTGGTCGCACCGAAACTGCTATTTGGGACCGGCCCGACCCCGTTAGCTTGGGCCTCACCGTTCGATGTGGCGGTTAATGTGGCGGCTAATGGCGGTCTGCTTCACGATGGCGGCCACACCGACGCTCCACTGTTGGCGCCATTTGCGCTTGGGCCAACTGCGATTGGCGCGCAATTGGCGGTGCTCGTTATGTTCATGGCTCTAACCTGCTTCAGCTCATTCTCCAACGCCGTGATCCTATCCAAAAGGTACGCCGTGGGTGGCTGGCCCACCTCCGGCTCTGAGCTCGCAGCTGCACTGTAAGCACCTTGGTTGGGACGCTACTGTAGTCGCTGTAGTGGCTGGGCGAGAAATGGCCGCCGCCGTGGTTATGTTAACCCCTGGCCGGTGTTCTGCTGCACTACTCGCTGGCTGCTGCGTTGTTGTAGTGGTGGCTTCCCCTCCGTTCAGCCGGGAACTCCTCCTGGAGGAATGCTGCATCTCCAAATAAATATGGTCCAAATATGGCGCTGCCCTAGCGCTCCAAAATGGCGGACCTGTGCCGTCTGGCTGCTGCCGCTGATACTCGGCGCTCCTTGCGCCTCCTGACCGCTGGTGCTTGGCGCTCCTTGCGCTTCCTAACCTGCCGCTGGCTGCGTCTCCTGAACTGAAGTCGGCTGCGTATCTGTGTCGCTGGCTGCGACTCCGTCCGTACTCAGTGTTTGGCGCTGCTTGGGCCGTCTATGTCGCTGGCTGCGACTCCTCTGCTAGTACGGGAAATGCGCTCCGTGCGCTGCTGGCAACTCTCTAGCTGGTCGTCAAGCCGTCCTCCAGCGCAAGTTGCCCTTTCAGTCTCCCTAGGACTGCGAATAAAAGATGTCGTCTTGTGAAGTGCGGAGTTGCCTTAAACGGCTCCCCCCACGCGTAGGTCCAAAGAAAGGTGAACTTCAAAGGCCTATGGCTATGGCGTACGGAACGTTTTATTCTGTAAATTCAATAAATTAGTTTACAATTCAAATATAGCTCTTCTTCTTACCGCAGTGTGCCCTCCTACTATTCACAAGACAGTGAAAAGGCACTTTTCGCCGGCATTCACATAACCGCGATTAATAAGCTCGTACTTCAATGGGCCAAAAATCGGATAACTTAAAAATACTAAATTTCCTATTAATACTGACTTAACTATCGATAACAATGTTTTGACCGTCGACAGTGACAGTAGCGGTTTTTATCAATTAACTGTGATTAATGGTTTTTATCAATTCAATTTCCCCCACCCCAAAACCCATTATCTGTCTGTCGGTCCCTTCCAGATTCTGGCGGAAGTTGTTTATCCTAATAAAGCGTCACTTCACACTCATGCATCAGATTTGTAAACATCTGTTAGGCGCATGTTATAAAATGTGTTTATTTTATTGTTTCTTTATTTCAGTCTGATTGTTTTTGTGTCTTGTTTTTAGTTTTAATATATATACATATAATAAATATATTTCAATATATATGTTCCCCCATCCCATAAACAGTTTAAGATTCTGCCACAGAAATCATAACAATGGTTAAATTATTTGTTGTTTATTAAAATTTTAGAGTTTGTGGTCACAGACCCCCCTCCCCTCTCCTTTTTCACTTCTCCATGTCTGTCAGTGGGTCAGTCTGTCTCTTTGTCATTACGATTTCCCTTCAACACCGGCAGGTCCCTTTAATCAGCATGGATTCTGATGGAAGTTTTTATTCTTAAAAAATGTCACTTTTCATCTTGTAGGAAGATGTTACGGCATCCGTTACGCACGCGCCGAATGTGGCAGAGCTTTGTTTTGGCATAGAAATTTTATTTTATTTGAAAGATATTTTTTATCTTATCCTTTAACTACATTATGTTTATTTATGTTTTTCCTGATCACGTTTTTTAGAGCAGTTCTTCTCGAAGTGAGTATCAGATCCACAATAATTACAATAAATCAGTTGTCCGTATCCCCTTTTGCGCGTATCATTATCAAACAAACCCTTGAATGACTCCATTGTATAAGACAATTTGAAGGTTGAACTATTTATTTATTACTGAAGCTTAAACATACGTTATAGAATTATAATATACTTCGTAATTAGAGTTAAGCTTCTTCCGATATTGGCACACCCGTTGAAGTTTTTTATTCTAATAAAGGGTCACTTCACACTCATCCATCTGATTTGTAAATAAACTTTTTGTTTATTCCTGACTTAGGAGGATTGGGAACGTCTTGAGGAAAGTTTCAATTTCTTTATTAAAAATTCAAAGTTTTTAAAATTTTTTCAAGATAAAAGGACATAGACAAAAGAAGAACCGATATGAGTCAATGGAAGCACCATGATAAAATTGTTAAGTGGGTGTAGGAGTATAACAAATCTGTATGCCCTTTATGTATAAAAATGGGAACAGTCAAATTGTTCAGCATCAGTTCGTCGTGAGCACCAAATCATACATATCACCATGAGCGGTATATCCGTGGAATTCATCGATTCGGTTCAAGCCTTGGAACTCTTGACGGATGTCGAAATCCTTGACCAAGACTCCGATGTGGTGGTCATTGAAGACTCGGAGCCAAACTGTATAATGCCTCTAGGCGAAGAAGACACCATAGGCAGGAATCTGAGGGAAGTATTCGCACCCTCCTCAACATCTTTTCAAACGATTCCACAAGAGTTGGAATCACTCAAATGGGAAGATTTTCCATTTGGAGATGAAATGATAGATGTATTTGAAAATGAGTTTTTATGAGCACTTTCAATGTGGTCAAAGGATTGATATATATGACCCGGAAGAAACTGTTTTCCAGTTTTCCAAATAAGTATCTAAATTTACTGAAAGATGAAGACGATAAGTTTTTGATAAATATTGCCAATAGGTTAGATATTTAAATAAAAATTGCATAGAAATCAAATAAAATAAAAATATTTAAAATTCAAATATAAATATCTTTTATTTTTTCGCTCCCATATTAACTGAAATAAATAAAACAGATATTTCCTTTAACAAAAAATGTGTTCATTTTATTGTTTCTTTATTTCAGTGTTTTTGTTTTTGTGTCTTCTGTTTTAGTTTTCAATACATGATGAAATTATTAATTATTTTTCTGAAAACTGTTATAAGGTTATATAGTCTAAAGTACTTTTTGTATTTTTTATTTTCTTCTCAGTCTTTTTTCTAGATTAAAATATATGTTCATAATGGTTGCTGTCTCCCTTTCGTACTCAAATTTTTTTTATTTTTTAGGTGTCACATGAGTAATTTTCCAACTTATATTGGTCATTTCTAATTTAAATGTTTGTTTCAATCTCTTTTTTCAAAAACATCATCTATGTTTTTGGTTAGCATTAGCACAAGTTCATGTTTACTGTTCGGTCAAACTCACAATATTTTTCGTCTTACATACTGTTTCTCTTTGTCTATACAAATGTAAACAAAGCTTATTAACATGTATTAACCAATCTCTGTAAATTACTCTGTTAGAACATTATGTTATTTTGCCGCTGCTAATAAAAGGCAGTTGCTGATGTTAGATCTTGGTAAACGGTTGTCTTTTTCTCGCCTGAGTTTATAAATTGTAATTAGTTTATGCACTCCCCAACCTGATAGCTTGTGCAGCACAAAAGACGCTTTGTGCATTAAACATTTTGGCGCCCAACGTGGGGCAGTGTTTAAACAAATTAACAATTTATTAATTCATAAACAATTGTCGAAGTATCGCCGGCAACAATTATTCGCTCGACCCGCTCATCGCAACTCAACATTGTCATAACCGCATACAAAGGTGAACATTCAAGCCTAGTGCATTCATCGAAAGTGAATAATAAATAAACAAATAAAGTTATTAACTATTCACGAAAATTCTAAGGGCAACGTGTCGTTCGTATAACGGAACTATTCGCGCTCTTCTTCGCACATCTCTTCGCAGCTTGTGTGTGTGCCCGCCCGCTCTATAAGCTCGGCGTCGATCGCTCATTCTCCTTTGCTCCGTTATTCCGCCAGTAAAGTGTTGTTGTTTTGTTTACATCGCCAACCGCAGTCGCTGGTACCGTTTTTGAGTTCTAGAGTCGCTTTCGCTTTGAACTAACTTCACGGCATTGCCATTCGTCGCCCGCGTTGTTGTTGCCGCAACTTATCTCGTTCTCGCATTCGCATTCTTCGTCGCAGCAATGGAAACGACTATATATTGGAGACTCTCAACGGCAACGCTCGAATATTAAGCGCAACATTACGCGCATAAGAGTAATGGTCGATGTCAAGGAAGAAGCAGAGCAGAAATCGCCGGCCGAACTTCTGTGCCGTTTGGGAATCTTAGAGTCATATTTTAAGCAAGCCCTTTCGGTACAATCAGAAATTGAGACCAGGGACTCCACAGATAGTGGA